ACCCCCTCATGGTGATTATCATAATTGAAATCTAATAAAAATTTCTGAAAATTACTCTTTTGGAGAAATACGATTCAGAGTATCAGACACAAATTTATTTTCTGTATAAATTTCTTTTGTAATTCCATTATCTATCATTTCTATAATCCGATAATCGATAGCAGGTCTCGATACCTAAACAGGAGATAACACAAGTAATTTGGAGACAGAACAAAGTGAAAAGGAATCAGATAATTGAAATAGAAAATTTAAATAAATTGAACTCTAATAATTCGAAGACTAGAATGACCAGAATAATTAAATCCACTAACTAATTAACTAATCAATCAGTAATCTAAAATGATTACTAATATCCACCCCGCAATTATTCAGTAAAAAAACCAAATAATTGTTATTTAATTCGTCAAAGAAATTTCAGTTAATGAATTAATTATCATTAAATATTATAAATTTAATAATTGTTTTTAATGGCGAATTGCGACGCGATTTACGAGACGAGAGCGAAAGTGATGAAACATAATTTCAAATGGATGATTCGGGAGTTCTCGGAGATGATGGACAAGCGAAAAAGTTTGAGATCGAAATTCAGTGTTCCTGGGTGTTCCTTGGATGGTTGTCTGGAGCTGTTTCCCCTGGGGAATAAATTTATTGGTGGACCCGATGAGATCGAGTTCCTGGATCTAGACGTGCACGTCCACTTCGAGGATGATCCTATCCACAGTGACATCGAGGTGTCGATCCTGGGACCCGATGGGGAGAAACACGTGACTAGGAGAAGAGCTATCACCCCCCAGGTCGGCTTGACCCTCCCCTTACCGAAGATGAAGAATTTTTTTCCTGAGGATGTCCTCACTCTGTCCTTCCTTGTCAGCATCACCACTGACGTCAGGACCACCCGGAGGAAAGACACGTATGAAGAAATCTTGATTAAATAAAAAAAATTGTTAGGATATTCGAGTTTTCTAGAAATTCCTCCGAACCCACTGGAGATATCAAAATTTCTTGCGGAATCTTTTTTGTAAAGCACGACGAGAGCTGCAAAAAAGGTAATAACAAAAATTTTTCTATCTACCCCCAATTCCGAGATATTCCAGAGAACTCGCGGACTCTCTGAACCGACTCGATCGAAATAAAATCGAAATCGAAGGGTTTTCCTATGAATTCACGAAAAAATCGTGAGATCCGCAGGTGTTTGGTGAACCGCGGCTTCGAGGGGGACCTGGAGAAGCTCCTGGATAATCCCCAGGTGTCCGACATCGCGATTACCGTTGGAGGGAGAAAATTCTGGGGAGTCAGGGCTCTTCTGGCAGCTAGGAGTCCTGTTTTCGCTGCGATCCTCGGAGGCAATGAGGGAGACGTGGTGATCGAGGACGTCGAGGAAGATGTCTTCGAGGAGGTCCTCCATTTTTTACACACGGATCGAGTGAGGAACCCGGAGGACAGGACAGAGAAGCTGCTTCACGCCGGACAGAAATTCGGATTGAAAAGACTTGTCCAGATGATTGGATTAAATCTCCTCAAGGACCTGACCACCGATAATGTCGCTGAGAGGCTTCTTCTGGCTCATGAGTACCTCCTCCAAGGGGTCAAGGATGTCATCATCAGGTTCATCAAGGGCCGGGTCAAGGCTGTCGTGCAGACTCAAGGGTATAAAAAACTCGTCGACCTCAACTGTCCACTCGCTCTCGAAATTTTCCAGGCGATGGCCCTAGAGTGAGGGCTACTCCTTTTTTTATTTATTAAAATGCAATTTCTCTTCTTTAAATTTGAATTTAAACAAAAAAGGAAAATTAGATTTTCTTTTTTTTTTTTATTTGAAATTGAAGAGAATTTTTTTCGTGTTTAGAAAAATTTTTATACAAATTCCAATTCTATTGGAATTTCAGAATTTGTTATTAATAATTGATGTTAACCCTGATTTTTGGATAATTGTAATAATTGTATGGAAATTTGGGGATTAATTCTTGAAAATTGATTTTTTCTGGGGAAATTTTCATAAATTTCCAAGAAATTCATCAGAATTTCATTTAATTGATATTAAATTACCACATATTCTCTCAACAATTTTGTTATAACTTTTATATTGATTTCCAATTGTCAGATAAATCCTCAATGTTTAGTGGAATACAGCAGCTGTAAAAGAATCGATAATAGTAAAAAATGGGAACAACTCCCTGAAATTCAAAAACATCAACGACACTTCTCTCTAGATCATATATTTATAATTCTGTTATCAATATAGAGAACAATTCATACCTCAACAATTCAACGCCCCAAAACCCCCGACATTCCGTTCTAACGAAACTGAGATAAAAATTCAGTAAAACATTTTCAGTAAAATATTCTAACCCCATTAATTTCCCGCCAAAAATTATAAGATGAATCTTTCGACAAACTTCCGACAATTGACAATTTTTACAAATACGTTGTAAAAATAAATAAATACAATCTTAATTACATCCTTAAATAAAATTGAAAAAAGAAAAATTAATTGTTTAATAGAATTAATTACGATTGAATGTGAAAATTTCAATCATTCGTTTAAAAATTCATTCAATTCGATACTCAATGATTTCTTTCATTTACTAAATTTTTTTCTCAGTGTAACATCTTCAAACAGACTTTCAACATGTAATTATCTAACTCCAATCACCATCAGGAATAGGAATTCCCACAGGATTCAATAGTCTAACGTGTCCTGTCCAGAATCTACTTCGTGAACACATCGAGACGATAAATCCGAAAATTTATGGAAAAAAGTCTCGCATCACCAGAGATATCCACGAATAAACAATTCAATAATTTTCATAAAGACGGACGATATCCATTCAGCCATTCTGGTCGGTCTCTAGAATCAGAAACAAGAGGTAAATCTCATAGATTAAAATTAAACAGTCAGTGGATTAATTGACGAATCCATTCATAAATAATCGATTAATCGGTGTCTCCACGATTGCGTGGACAATTTATTATTAATAATCCGTTGGTACAGGTTATGAACATCGAAATCTCACGATAAGCACCTCATCAAGACTCCCAAATTACTTATGAATGGTACTCGAGCCTTTATCAGTGGTTAAATCTCGTTAGCACGTGACTCTTGTATATATGTCGTAAAAATAATTCTATCGATTTCTGTTTTCGTCTAGGACATTGACATTTTCATTTATTATATTTTTTATTTAAATTTGGGAGCGCACTTCATGAGGTTTACATAAGCGAAACATCAATTATATATTTGATTGTCTAACGAGATTTAATTGCACTTCATTAATCCTATTCGGAGGTAAATACACATGCTTCTCTGACGGGTCCAATGGAGGTCTAGAATAATTGATAAACATTGGAATTTGTCGGAAAAATTATTGGGTCTCCGGAGTGATTAATCCGGGAAAAATATCCTTGATAAAATCCTCCGAAAAAAATTTTTATTCATTTATTTCTGTCTTTATTTTTAGGGGATTTTGTCTGGGAGATTTTTGTGCGGGGGAGTAAATATTGGAATCGAGGAATAAATAAAAAAAGATGTATAAAAAATTTTATTTCCCAAAATTCTATAGCGAAACGAAAATCTAGTCTTTTTTAAGATTTTGGTTGAATTAAAAAATAATTCCTGTAGACGTACTGTAGAAATTTAATAGAAGTCTGGAGAAAGCACTAGGTTTTTCTTTCATTTTTTTTCATGCATGGGATGACATGCAATTGTGCCCGCAGGAATAAATTTTATTGAAAACTCCATCGCACTGACTGAAGAAATTTCCACAAATTTCTAGAGTGCATCGAGATTTTCCAATAGCATTTTTCCATTTCTATTATTAGTGATTAATTAGTTTTCCCCGGAATTCAATTCTCAATGTTTCAATAATTGTCTTTGGACCCAATTTTAAGGGGAGAATCGATAGAAGAATTAATTGAAGATGAAGTCATGAGTAAAAAATATTTACCGCACATGAAAAAACATTTTCTATTTCTCATTTCTATTTTGAAATTTTTTAGAGTTCCAATAGAATTTTCTGTAGAAAGTGCAAGATTTTCGATTTAATTCCTTCCCACGGGTGTGCAGTCACTAAGAATTTCTATTTAAAATAATTTCCGAAGATTAGGCCGATTTAGTTTGATTCCACATTTCTTGAAAACTATTTTGATAATCGCAGTCGAATACGCCAACAAATAGCATTGACACAAAAAAAAAATAGATAATTAATTTAATTAATTGATGCACCAAAAATTTCTGTGAATCCGTAAATAATTTTTTTCGATTTCAACCGCTCCATTTTGTACTGTCGGTTAAAGAGGATTGTAAATTATTACTAATAAATTTTGTGCAGTTCGTGTAATCAATTTGAAAATGAAAATTGATTTCAGGATTGTAGGCTGACTCGTAGGTATAAATGTTAGGTAAAAAATAGAATGACAGGAATTCACAGATATGACTCGGAAAACTCAAAATCGGATACAGATGCACGTGAAGATCTCGTATAAACGGATATACCCCCACCAATTGCACTATCCGATGTTCCCTCGCCTGTTACAAAATCGGCAACAATCAGTGAATCCTTAGGTACATGACCTGCGCCTCCTCGTGCAGCATCTCGTTCGGCTAGACGCTGCTTTAATACTTTAATCTTTTCTTCTTTCTGTAAATAAAAAAAAAATCCATTCCTCAAAATAAATTCCATACACAATAATTTTTTTTTCTCTCCAATTAAAAAAATATACCAAACGATTAAAAATTCCGAGAGAATTAATTATCCCGTATTAATAAAGTAATCAGGATGATTGATTACTTCAGATTGAAGCTCGCTCTAATTTTTTTCCTCGATTCTGAAATATCGAATGGCAAAAACCGAGGACTACCTGAGCAATGAGCTTCTGCAATTCATCGTTCTCGACGACGAGCTTCTGGTACCTCTCCTCATCCTCTTTAGACATTCCGACGTCTGGATTGTACTTGGACTCAGCTTTATCCTTGGGGTGCCTGATGACTTCGATGACTTTAGGCACAAATATGAGAGCCATGCTGAGGAAGCAGCAGAATATTATGGCGAGAGCTACAAAAGTGAAGCTCGCATCCTGCTGGCTGGCAATGACCATCGTCACTGGAGCTGTTATCAGACACAAGACTACAACATTGTAGATTGACATCCCCACATAACGCGAATCGTTGATCTGTTTCACTTTGATACTTCTAGTTTCATAGGCAAGAAACAATCCGAACACCAACACCACGCCTTTGTACCCATAGATTAAACCTACAATTTATTTATTCATTGAATCATAAATAGATTTTACTCTGTAATTGTATTTTTTAAATTAGTTTAAAGGAAAAATTAATACCAAGCCAGACACCATTGTGTTCGCTCTCGCAGTGCTCCAACTCCGGACGGATCCTGGCGTCGTCCTCACCGTAGGGTGGCATCTCCAGCTGGAACACCTCGATTTTTCTCTGGAGAGGATCCAACCCCTGCCATGCCCCTAAAATAACAATATCCACCGCCAACAACGCACTCACCATAGTATATAATTTCCAGGGTTGAATATTTTTTTGTACTGATGATACTTTCTGTTTCGCCATGAACAACTGAAAAATATTTAAAATATCATATCAATATTCATCGCAATTAATCACTGATCTATTATTATCAATTCATTGCGATAAACAGATAAATAATAAAATAGTACATAACTAAATGATTATGTACAATTTAATTAATTAATTAATTATATATTAATAATATAATTATAATAAATATAATTAATCAATTAATTTATCTATGGAATCTTCAGTATTTCATTGAATTTCAATTTCCGGGAATATTTATGTGAAGATAAATTAAATGAAAAAATGAAATTGTTTAAGCGAATGTAATGGAAAAATGGACTTTCAGGTGAATTATCTCCGGTCTAAATGAATCCAATAATTACTTTAGCTTGATCAGCTTTAGTTTTAGTCGTCAGTCTATGTACTCTCCATACTTTACTGAACATTGCCCCGAAGGCGAGGGTGAACCCTATGGAGAGGACCCAAGCCCTTCCTTGACAAATACCAGCGTATTCCCAGGGCTCGACGAATCGTCCATCAATTCCCAGTAAAAATACTGATACGAAACACCCGATAACACCCGCCAGCATTATCGTATTGCAAACAGGATGAGACGAGAGGATTACCCTGTGAATAAAAAAAAAACAAATCAACCAGTCCTTAATAATCGAATTAATTACATAATTAACGAATTGATAAAGGTAATTAAAAACGTCAAGTTGAGTATTCTGAAAGGAAAGAATCATTTGTTCAGGTATTTAATAGAAAAAAATAATTATTATTAATTAGAGTTGAATAAAAAATGTTGATTCACCTTCTGTGGCGATTCCATATATTAAAAATTATTAATAAAATGGCGATTGTTATTCCTAGAGCTGAAATGGCGCACATGCAGATGAAGAGGGGTAATGAGACCGTTCTGAGGACTCGTCTGACGATCGTCCGGTCCTGGGGAATTTTACCACCGATCCAGCGCTCCATGTTCTTCCAGGTTAAATTATCCATCTGGGTATCGTAGTAACCCAATTTCACGTACTTGCCATCGATCACTTGTTCTATCTGGGTTAATGCTATCCTGTCGCCCTGAGAGCTGAACGCCACGTACCCCTGGAATAATTCCCCATTTATTACGTGGAGGGAGGGAGTCCACGATTTTTTTCGTTATCGGATAATCCCAGGGGAAGCTATGACGTGACACTTTACTCACCGAAACCCCCAGGAACTGAGTGGAATTTATTGCTGAATAAATTTCATCCGCTATCTCCTTCTCGGTGTACGTGAAATTCTTCAGACTTTTTCCGGATTTCGCAAGTTTTTCCATTGTTTTATTAAAAGCTGAAATTAATAATATTGATAATTAATGGATTAATTAGAAGACGTGGGGGTTCATTCAATTACTTTTTTAATTATCAATATTTTATTCTTATCTATCACCGAAATTATTGATAAATAATCAGTATCTATAGAAAAATCTCTTGCATTTCAGAAAGTAACGTACCATGAAAATAAAATTGAATAATTAATTTTCAAAAGTCAACAGTTAAAATCATTGATAATTCACCTAGTGCAACAGACCAGACAGCATCATAGGCCAGTGGAGCTTCCTGGTAGCCCTCAGGATAGCGATTTCCATCGATGTCGTAGCCGTCCTCCTTCAGGAGCTGATTGAGCCTCTGTCGGAAGTCCTCGGATGTCATTCCACTGATTGTCGTGTCATTATTCTGATTCCACATTAAAGCCTCAGTGGTGAGATGTCCCTCGGCAGCCATCCTCATCTGCTCCTTCGAGCAGGTAATTCCCTCCTTATCAAGATTTATCTCAAACCAATTGTCCTCATACCTGAAAATATTCATTAATTATCATATCACATTTTTCAATTACTTTCTAATCATAATTAATTCATTAATCACTCCATTCTTTAATTGTCATCATAATCTTTAGTTTATTATATATTATTTATAAATTTATATGCATGTAAATTTGCATTAAATGCAATTTTTACAAATTATAATAACAAATTGAAGTAAAAAAAAAAATGGTGACAATTGGAATGAAAAAATTAGGGAAAAATTAATAAATTTTGGTACCATCCTATGAAAAACCACACGTAGCTTTTCCCGTAGAGGTTTTGATGATAAACTTCACAGAGAACTCGACGTGCCGCTACCACGTAGAAGAGGCCGATGATTATCCTGGCATCTTGACGACGGAGATTTCTCACAGCATCCGCTGGATCTGACAGAAAACTCTGACGCGTCACAATCTCAATGCCAGCCTCTTTGCAACGCGCCTCCAAGTCTTCTACAGTCTGTGAATATTATTCATAAAATTTTTATCGAATTCAATAATTTAAATGACTACAATAACAATTTAAAGAAATAATATAAATAATCCGCAGACAGTGGATTTGTTATTATATATTATATCTTCGAAATAATGCAAAATGGAGCTTCCGATATTTTTGGGATTATAAATAAATGAAATATTGAATATGATATCGTAAATTGAATATTGCAGAAGAATTCTATTAATTTTTTTTTGGAGAACTGAATGATAATTTAATATTCGAAAAATATCGAGAGGTCGTGCTGCCCCTGGGAGATGCTCATCCCATGAATTTTTCAATTTCTTAAATATTAAATTACCGATATGAACACTTCCTCCGCCTGTTGTAAAATAGCAACTCTAGACCATCCGAATTTCTGCATTAATTTTATTCTAGTTGGATTATGAACAGTCGCTGATGGATGAGTTCGAAAAAGTGTGGGAAAACGATTTCTATCGGATAATGCAGGAGAAGACGCCCCATAGCACAGCTGAAATAATTAAATCCTTAATTAACGACAACTTTAATAACATAATCATCAAGAAAAAACAATTGGAGAAATCTAAAAAATACAGTGAATTCACGATTACAATTTTAATTCCTTTTAGAATTAATTTATCTGTCGTTTAATTAACATTTTCTACTGACAGTCGAAATTAAAATTAATTAATTGAGTAATTAACGTACAACCACCAAATTCCACATTTTAGAAGCTTCTGCAACAGTTGTACAAACAGTACTACATCCTGCCAACAGCATCAACTTCTGGGGTGCATTGTAGAGCAGATTGTACATCACAGATGCACCTAGACCGGGTTCGCACTAAAAGCCAAATTGCAGTAATTGAATTATTCATGTCTTCGGGGCTTTCAACGAGGTATAGTCGTGCGGTTGGGAAGTTTCGAGGCGCAATAACTCAATCATTCCAGCTGGAAATCATCTGACGGATGAGAATACACCTTCTACCCCATCAAGTATGCCAGATAGATTTTCATTACTTAAAAATAATGGATGAATTATGTAGAAATTATTTTGTGTTAACAGAACAAGGAAATCATCGAATTATTCGTAATCATCGGTTTATCTCGAAAACTATCGACATCAGGAGGAAGTGCTGAGGAAGTTTTTTGAAGTTCATCAAATTTTCAAGAAAAAAGTATTCTTCATGTTTTGTGAAAAAACGACTTTCCCGCACGCTGTGAGTAAAAACTATATTTCGTAACAAGTGCGGGAAAGTTTCACTTTCCGCACTAGTTACGAAATACACTTTTTTTCTGGAAAATCATCACTTGGCAGTCGCACTTACTCCATGAATAAATAAACGTTAATTTAAAAAATCTTTACGAATTAATAAATCACCTCGCTGTCATTAGAGTGCAGCTTTAATTCAAATCCCGGGAGCAGGTCCTTCGCCTTATTAACGTCTTCCAAGGCGAGATTAGCTGCTGGCATGCAAGCCTAAAAAAAAATTATCCGAAAAATCAGACGAAAATCGCAAATTTTTATAATTCATATCTAATTGCAGATTTTTTTCGGAACATTCCGTCATCGATCAAGTGGAATCCAATCAAGAGCTTAATTACCTGGCCTCCCTGCCACCCCCCTTCACCCCCGATCGGAAAAATCCCGCCGATGTGCAGGATATTATCTTCGGACACAGGTAATGAACCGAAGACCGCCGAAATCGTCGACAAAATAGTAATCAATCGCCTCATGATTGACCCCTGAAAATCGCACACCAAAAATTACAATCGTAAGCTGTCCACCCCATTTACAATCTTCGTAATTAATTAATTATGGGATGAGAGTCATTAATTAGGAATTTATGCTCGTAAATTACGGGATTAACGACCTGCAGGTAATAATCCGGTTTTCTTGTAATTGCGAGGTCTGAATTAATAAATTACGAAGTTGTAGATTATCATAGATTACGGATTGTAAAAGTTAATTGCAAGGTTTGACCTGAATGATTTATGAGAACATTGAAAAATAAAAAATGGTAATGTAAATAAAATAAAGTGGCAGGAATTACGATGTCGAGATTATAATTACGAGGAAGAAATAAAAAATTACGGGACAAACAATCCCGTAATTTCCAGGTCTGAAATCGTAATTTGAAAATTGAAAACCAATTCACGAGGTCAAATCTGATAATTCCGATTTCTCGCTCATAAACTGGTAATTAAAGTTTCCCCTCGTAATTTCCAGGTCAAACTCTGTACTAATCTCTCCCCTATTTATCTCTAATCCAATCTTTTATATTTTCAGAATGAAAAAATGAAAAAAATAATCATAATTTAGATTTAGATTTTACTTTTACTTTTAATTTTTTTTTTCTTTTTACTTTTAGATTTTCGTGTGCGGAGGTTGAAAAATTCGTGGACAGGAGTGACTCCTCAGGATGACGCCGTAAGGATCGGCTAGTCCCAGTAGATCCTTTTGTATATCATTTTCCTCCGTTCACATAATCCTTTATCACTTGTTGCCGATGGTGACGAGTAATGAACACTTGACCCACATTATCGCACGATCACTTGAACCGATTTACCGAACTACCCGAATCAGGGATTTTCAGGGATTGAAAAATTCAATTGACGAAATAGATCATGAATCGTGATGATCCTCGAGGTCAGAGCGACGGTGAACCTCCGCGGGTATGAATCATATTGATTCTGGTTACACCAAAAGTATTCCTGAGGGTCGCACCGAGAGGTCTACCCCCTCTACAAGGGTGATATCAGAAAATCGATGTGCACACCCCCGAAATAATCTATCCACCCATTACTTCCACCGAATTTTATAATCCCCGGTGATTAATCCCGTAATTATTCTGCTGATAATTTATTACGTGTGTCGATCTCTCGCGATTCGTCGATGTGCGATTTTTAATGAGGATTAATTGGTGATTAGGTATTTATGCCTAGGTGATGGGCTTTTGACTCGATCTGCTTCGGCGCCTTCCACCCGGATGACTTCCACTCGGTTGGTACTCAGGATTCCTGTCTTCACTGCAAAGGAAATCATCAATATTCGAAAATTCTCCAGTGGAGGAATTCCCAGGGAATTCTCAGCGGATTTCAATGACAAGTGACAATTATATTGCTCCAGAAGATTATCAAGAAAATACGAAATTTATAATAAATTTACTGTGAATGTTATTTTCTTCGTTACGGAATCGGTATTCACTGAAATTGAAAGATTTGAAATGTTTAAAAAAATGGAAATTTGGAATTTAAAATGGAAAAAATTATTCAATAAATGAAAAATGGAATTTCAAATGGGAAAAATTATTCAATATATTGAACATATACTTCTAATGAAACTAAATTATTATTATGAGTGCGATGTCCAAAAGGCAATCCAGCTTCATTCATTTTTTTTTTTAATAATTCCAATTTTTTTTTTTTTAATCGCTAATTAATGGAAATATCGTTTAAAAACTGAATATTTGAAAATCGAGGAGATATCCAGTAAAATTGAAAAATTAGCAATTTTTTAAAACGATAC